ATTTAATTTAATTTAACAAATAACCTAACCTCATTTGCCTCTAAGTGACTCACAAAACCACCTCAATAAAATGTATCATTATTTCAATAAAACTCCCAAAAACCACCTCAAAAAACTCGAACTACCCATCAATATTCTAATCACACAGCTCCCCATATATTTTCAAACAAATTTATAAAAATCGATTTCAAAATTCGACCTCACGTACGAGTTGGAAAATTAAATTGGACAGCTCTCCTGGGAAATGTGCAGGGAATAAATATAAATTTTTGAATGCTGACAAATCGACAGGTACGATAGATAGAGCCCATGCATACGTGACAACACGTGTCAGCTCTCCTCTAACAAGGTATTCCAGCGCGCCAAGTTTCGACAGCGCTACGTGGCAAGATATACTGCCAACTGGACAGAGGATTTTATGCATTTATGATGAATGCGAGGGGACAGAGGTAGAGAAATATTATGTGGTAGTAATAGTTTATTCATGGCTAGTCTGATATTTAGATATTCGTGTACAGGGTGTGGGAAAATTGTTGAAAACTTGATAGTTTCTGTGATGAAAATGGGTTTTAGGGAAACGGGTTTCAGAAGAATAAGTTTCAAAAGAATAGGTTTCTGGAAAATGGGTTTCAGAAAAATAGAACTCAGGAAAATAGATTTCAGAAAAATAGGTTTCAGAAAAATAAGTTTAAGAAAACTAGGTTTCAGAAAAATAGATTTCAGAAAACTAGATTTCAGGAAAATAGGTTTCACAAAACTAGGTTTCAGAAAGAATATGTTTCAGAAGAATAGGTTTCAGAGAACTAGGTTTCAGGAAAATAGATTTCAGAAAGAATAGGTTTCAGAAAGAATATATTTCAGAAGAATAGGTTTCAGAAAGTATATGTTTCACGGAAAGTATATGTTTCCCACTCCCTGCCGCGTGACACGCCTAGTGGCCGTGAACGCCGCAGCGAATCACACGGCAGGAGAATCCGTGTGGATGGGGCGTGCCCCTTCGAATCTGACCACTAGGATGAGAGTGCCAGGTTAGTTGCAACGTATGTGTCTCGGGTTGTAACTTTGACTTAATTGAAGTGAAATAAATTTTTCTTCTTTTATACTATTATTGCAAATAAATTCATCAACTGAAGTATTAGAAATGCCTACCCCTTTTATATTTTTTTTTAAGTTAAAGTCTTATCAATTCGTGCATTAATAGTAGAGCTATCAGAGAAGTGGAAATCAATTATTACTGATTTCTTGTGTTACAGTCATTGAGGAGGGAGAAATGTTTCTCAGAAATATTTTCTTATTAAAATATAATATAGTTGTCGCTGATTATATTATATTGAAATTATAAAAAATCTTATTATCACCAATTATATTGTATTAAAATTATAAAAAATCTAATTCTCACTAATTATATTATATTACAATTATAAAAAATCTCATTATCACTAATTTTATTATATTAAAATTATAAAAATATAATCACCACTAATTATACTACATCAAAATTACAAAAATACAATTACCATTAAACAATCTATTTAACCAATGCACACTCAAAAATAAAAGCTAACGAAAATCTCAATAAATACACTCCTGTAACATCTCCAGAAGAATAAATGGAAATCAATTCGACTGTTCGGTAGTTCTGGCATCAAATGACCCTTCCGGTCCGTGCATATACTGAGAAATGGATTTTTTTCATTTCATATTTTGCATACCGCGGCGAGGGCACCCTCGACGCGTTTTTATAACGTTCGCGAAATTGTAAAGGGTTTGAAGGGCTTTGTGTCGTTGACGTTGCTTTGGTAACCACTCTATGTCAAAGTGAATACGTTCCGTGTCGCATCGGAACCGTGTTGCGAAAGTACTGGCAATTGGATTGGTCAGTGTCATGGAGATATCCATGATACACGATGACTCGGCGAGTTTAGTATGTAATGATTTTAGTTTATTATATCCTTTTCAATTGAAAAATAGATATTTATTAAGTTAACATAAATTTAATATAAATTTAATATTTTTTAATATTTTTTTAGAATTTAATATAACGTTTATGTTTTTTGTTTAAACAGAACTTTATTATGTAATGATTTTAGTTTATTAGTACTCTTCAATTGAGAAATAAATTTTTATTAATTTTACATAAATTTAATATTTTCTAATATTTTTTTATATTTTTTTGGAATTTAATACAATATTCAAACAGAACATAATAATTTACCTTCTAATTTATTAATAAATATATTTATTTCTTTATTTATTCATTTTATTTAATGTTTTTTAATAGTTCGTTGCAAAAGAACTGCCAATTGGATTGGTCAGTGTCATGGAGATATCCCTGCTACACGATGACTCGTCGAGTTTATTGTGTGATGCTTGTAGTTTATTAGTAGTTTTCAATTGAAAAATAAATATTTATTAATTTGATATAATAAATTTAATATTTTTTAATATTTTCTTGCAAACGTACTGTTAATTGGATTATGAAATGTTTGATTTTAGTTTATCAGTAGTTTTCAATTGAAAAATAAATCTTTATTAATTTGACATAAATTTAATATTTTTTAATATTTCTTTGGAATTTAATATAATATTTATGTTTTTTGTTTAAACAAAGCTTAATAATTTACTTTCTATTATTTCTTTATTTATTCATTTTATTTCATATTTTTTAATATTTTGTTGTTAAGCTCATTAAACATTTTTTAATATTTTTTTAAGCTCATTAAAAATTTTTTAATATTTTGTTGTTAAGCTTCTTAAAAATTTTTTAATATTTTGAGAAGACAGAAGTCTTGAATTTTGGCACTTAGAATATGTTATATAAAAAATATTTAATTTTCACTAAGTTTAAACAATTATATTCCACCACCATTAAATATCACAATTGAAAAAGCTGTCAAAAATAAGTCAGAACTCTTCCTGCCACAAGTTCCTAAAATTTTTCAACTCTGAGGAATAGATCCGGGAAATACCTAAGTATGTAGCCCGTTCTCGTTTCCCGCGGAAACTTTTTCAATGATTTCCCTGTTCTTGTCTACGAAACGCAACTTTCGAGGGTGGAAGTTTGATATTGCCGGACTTCCCGGATCGACTGTTTTCCCAGCGGCTCACGGTGCTGCCACTTGTAGACATAACCTCCAAATTCGAATATTTGCATAATGAAAATTTAAGGTTAGCAATGTTTTGTTAAGTAGTTTCTGGTATAAACAAATGAAAATTTTGTGCAAATAAATTATTCCTTCATTTATACAAAAAAAAATTTCATAATATTTTTATAATGTAAAATTCTTATTATCATTATCTTATCATCATTCTTATTATCATTATTATCTCATCATCATTCCTAATATCATTATTAGGATTGATATGTAATCTTTGTAAAAATTGTAACAATAGGTTATCTAATACTTTTGTTAAATAATTTGTGTTATATAAAATGATTTTTATTTGAAAAATGAAAATTTTGTGTAAATAAATTCTTTCTCTATTTAAATAAAAAAAAACTTCACAATATTTCCATAATTTAAAAAAAATGTAACATTTTGTTTGTGTCACTGGTACTTTTTAAGTTACCAAATTTTATTAACAAACAGTTGCTTGTGAACATAACCTCGAAATTCATCTACTCATATAACAAAAATTGAAGGTTACCAATATATTGCTAACTGATTTTTGTTATAAAAAATGATTTTTAAAAAAATGAAGCATCTTTTGCACCACTCGTACAGCTAAATTATCAAATTTTATTAAATAAACAGTCGCTTGTGAACATAACCTCAAAAGTCACCTATTCAAATAACAAAAATTGAAGGTTACCAATATTATTGCTAAATAGTCGCTGCTATGGAAAATAATTTTTGAAAAAATGTTGAAGCACTTTTTACACCACTCATTAAATTATCAAATTTTATTTTATTTTAAAATAAACTATAATAAATTATTTTAAAATAAACATAAAATAAAATAATTTTAAAATAAACAACCGTTCGACAGCACTAAGCGACGAAGTGATACAACGTGAACGCACAAGTCAAAAAACAAGATTGTTCGTTGGGTTGGCTCGCGTGTCCAAGACTTTCCCCTAGTGAACGGAGTTTAAGGTCACGTTAACACGAAACCGTTCCGACCGAACGGCCTCGGCCACGTGCACCAACATAGACAGAAAAATGACAAGCTTCATCGAGCACCCGATTCCGTTTTAATTCCACCGGAGCGACGTCTATAAAAGTTTATAATAATAATAAGTTATATATTATATGAGTGTATTGTAATAATAATTTATCATATTAAATTTTATTATATTATTATTATTATTATTATTATAAACTCTTTATAATTACTTTATTATATTATATTTTATTATATTATATAAAGTAATTATAAAGAATTTATAATAGTAATAAGTTATATATTATAAGAATTAATATGAACAAGTAGTTATATATTACAAGAATTTATAATAACAATAATTTATTTATTATAAGAGTTTATAGTAATAATAATTTATATAATATAATAAAATAATATAATATGATAAAGTAATCATAAAGAATTTATAATAATAATTTGTATATTACAAAAATATACAATAATAATAATAATTCATATAATGCAATAAAATAACATAACAAAACAAAGTAATAGTACCGATCATACCGATCAGAAATAAATCATAGGGCAAGGGGTTAAAGGACACTGCAAAGTGGAATATGTCTCATCCACTTGCGAGGGAGTGTCACCCTATTGGATGCGTAGTCCATTCCCGCGTTGCGAAAACCGAAGGAAACGATCCGCCATTGCCAGAGGGTACACGCGTCAGCTCTTCGACTACGGGTACATTGGTACGCGCCTATCCGCGTCGGGATCTCTTTGCCACTCGAAACTGTCGAGTCCGCCCGGCCCGGGGCGTGTCCCGATAATTCGTCTCGTGACCGGCCGCGGATACAAACGACGTGATTTAATCTGTTGTATCACGGCGACAAGATCGGACCGGTGTCTGGCTTCATTTGCGGACGGCGATAACGCTTATCGATCGTGGCCTGCGAAATAATCCAGTTCGGTTGATGTCTAACGATATTTTATGAATGTAATGGTTGCTTGAATTTTATGGTTTAGGGTAGGATTTCAGGAAAATTGAAATTGTGATGATTATAACGTTAGCTTGTCGAATGTGATACTAATGGATTGCTGGGATTGCGCCGATTAAAATGAGTACAAACACGGGGGGGATCGGAGCAGTTTTAGGTTTTGATGAAAACGAGCCTCTAGGTTTGTTAATTATATTGAATTGGTAAAAGTAGTCCGATTCCCATCGTGTTTGGACTCATTTTAATTAGGAAAACCTCAGCAATTCATTGGCATTATGTTTGAGGAGGTAGGGTTAAAATTACTGCAATTGAAATTTTTTTCATTGCATGTTTAATTTTACGTTCTCAATCATAATATCGATGAAATATTGACATTTTTCTCGTTAAAATGAGTCCAAACACGATGGGAATCGGAGTAGTTTTATGATGTCATGGAAACGAGCCCTTAGGTTCGTTAATTACATTGAATCCATAAAACTAGTCCGATTCCCATCGTGTTTGGACTTATTTTAATCAGCACAATCTCAGCAATTCTCTGGCATAACTGTTCTTATTAAAGTGAGAAGTTTGTAGTCAACGTAGATATTTAACAATTTTATTTCTTAATTTGCAAATTTCAATTCATTGTCGAATCAATATTGTCATTTGTCGAGAAATCTGAATAACTTCAAAGACAAACGTAAACAACAATTTTTTATTAAAATCTTATTTGTAATCAGAAATAATTTAGTTAAAACAAATGATAGTTATCCTACGATTCTTTTCAATTTCTTATAAAAATTCCGGATGTGAAAGGAGTGCAATGGGTTCAGTAGCGAATGAATGATTCTCGCCGTGTGTACCTCTCGAACACGTCACACTAGAAAGAAATGAGTTTCGACATGAAAAAGGCAGGCGGAACGGAAACAGGAAATAAGAATAAGACTGGGGCGAAAGGACAGGGCGTGCCTTGCGAACTCTGAAATTGCGCTGGTACACGTAGTTGTATACAGCTATTTTATGGAGCTTTCGAAGCGTTTCCTCTGTGAAATAGATTAATCTCTTTTTCTTCGATGCACCTAAGATATATGTGTTAGTGACAATGTGTTAAAATTATATGAATATAAACATTGTGTAAATTATTTGTATCATTTGTCTTGTTTGTATTATTTGTACTAATTGTACTAATTGTACCATTTGCACCATTTGTGCAATTTGTACTAATTGTATTATTTGTGCCATTTGTACCATTTTTGCGATTTTTACCATTTTTACCATTTTTACCATTTGTGCCATTTGTACTAATTGTATTATTTGTACCATTTGTACCATTTGTACCATTTTTACCAATTTTACCATTTTTATCATTTTTACCATTTTTACCATTTTTACCATTTTTACCATTTTTACCATTTTTACCATTTTTACCATTTTTACCATTGTGACACCCTTAATCCTATATTTTACATAGTGAAAATGAAATTCATGCTATAGAAATTATTATTAGAAGTTACAAAGTA